GACCAAGTGCAGAGATAAACAAGACATAATTACTAATTAAATGGGAATAAGCCACAATTAAAGGTTAAAGTACGTTTATTGGCATTTCAATTTCCAATTCGGAAATCGTTCTCAAAATAGAAACGTACTTTCGTATTTTGCCGAAAAACCCTCAATTATTTTGCAGTAATTTATAAATGTTAATACCTTCGTTTGTACATAATGGCATTTAATATAACTAATTTAAATTGATTGATTAAAGAGAGAAAGACGAAAACTATTAACAACAAACCCTTTACCGACGGCAGACATCCTAGCCAGTAATAAAGAGAAATACCAAGAGGAATTAGCACGAAAACTAGTAGCAAATACCTTTGAGCACAAGAATATAGATGAACTAGCTGAGAAAATAACTAAAGACATACAAACAGTCACTAAGAAACTCTGTTGCAGAATAAGAAAACAAAAGGAAGCTAAACTAAAACCCGAAACTCTAGAACAGATAGAGAAAAGAAGAAGAACAAACAGAGATAACCCGGACTATAAAGCGCTCAACAGAAGCGTTAAGAAAAATATTAAGACCTCAGAGTTTATAGAACAAACCAGATTCTTGAAACCATAGAAAATAATAAGAACATGAAAGTACTAAAAACATGTAAATCCGCTGGCAGGAATAAAATCATAAAGATAAAAGACGACCGTGGAACATTGTGAAGGAAGAGATCGTTAGAGAAATTCGAAAATTTTATGAGAAGCTGTATAGTTCTACTATTCCGAACCCCGGTATACCAAAAAAACATATCTTAAATGTGGGCTCAGAGGACTTCCCTGAAATAATAACATCAGAAATTAGAGCCGCCCTAAAACAAATGAAAAATGGGAAAACACCAGGAGAAGATAAAATGACTTCAGAGATGCTAAAAATGGGAGGCACTGCATTAGAAGAGGCAATAAGAGCATTACTTAATAAACGCCTATTGGAAGGACAAATACCGAACACATGGAAAAATGCGGAAGTCATTCTACTCCATAAAAAAGGGGACGCCGCAAATATAGAAAACTACCGACCAATAAGCTTATTGTCACACCTTTACAAACTACTAACCGAATAATAACAAATAGATTGACAGCTAAACTAGATGCATACCAACCAGTGGAGCAAGCAGGCTTTCGTAAGGGTTTTAGCACTATCGATCACTTGCAAACAATTCGGACCATTATTAAAAAAACAATAGAGTACAACATACCACTACATCTGGCATTTGTCGATTATCACAAAGCATTCGACAGTATCGAGAATTGGGCTTTCTTAACAGCATTGGACGACGCCAGAGTAGATTCAAGATATGCTGCCCTCCTTAAGAATATATACGATGATGCTACTTTTCACGTAAAAATAGATGATGATCTGGAAACTAGAAAAATAGACCTTGGCAAAGGTGTGAGACAGGGCGACACCATCTCACCCAAGTTATTTACTTTGGCACTAGAAAATGTTTTCAAACAACTAAATTGGGCCGAAAATGGATTAAAAATAGATGGAGAATATCTTAACCATTTGCGTTTTGCAGACGACATAGTACTAATAAGCACAGATATCCATGAACTAAAATCAATGCTACAAGATTTAAATCACAAATCGAATCAAATAGGATTAAAAATGAATCTCGACAAAACAAAGATATTAAGCAACAGCCTAGAAAACATCACGATAGATAACATCAATATAGAAAAGGTAGAACAATATATTATACCTAGGACATGCAATTAAAAACGAAAAGGAAAATCAAACCCTAGAAATTAAAAAAGGACACAAATATCATGGGCTGCTTTTGGTAAGTTGAGCTTCATTTTAAAAGACAGAAAAAAAAAACCTATGACACTTGTATACTACCAGTTGCAACTTATGGATTGGAAACTATGGCAATAACAAGAAAAATGGCAGAACAATTAAGAGTAATTCAACGGGCCATGGAGAGGGCCATGTTAAATATAAGCCTCAGAGACAAAATTCCTAACACCGAAATACGTCAAAGAACTAAAGTAACCGACATCATGGAAAAAATAGCGACATTGAGATGGCAATGGGTAGCACATGTAGCAAGACAAGACACCAACAGATGGTCTCATAAAGTGACATTCTGGAGACCTCGAGAAACAAAAAGAAGCGTGGGAAGACCTAAAAAGAGATGGATAGACGATATAACTGCTGTAGCTGGAAAGCAGTGGATGAGAATTGCAAAAGATAGGGAAGCGTGGAAGCAATTGGAGGAGGCCTATGTCCAACATTGGATAAATGAAGGCTGAAGAAGAGAAGAAGAATACATTATTAAAGTGTGGTATATTTCACATAGATCACAAAGTTATCCAATTTGTTTATCCCAAAGAGCGATTATCTAAACGACTGTACTTGACCAGATAGTCACTCTGTACTCTCTATACACACGTGTATTCTGTAAATCGAACTCGCTTTTATAAGAGTTCGTACTTTCAACGGAAAAATTTAGTAAGATAGGTCAAAATAGCACAATTCTTATTATTTGGTTGAGCTACCCTAGTAAAGAAATGAAGGTTCTACGTGCCACAGAAGCCGAGATATTAAATATTTTGCAAGCGTGCTTCAATTTAAAGTCCGAATCTAAAAAAAAACAAGCTCAGTCAGTTCTTACCTCCATGGTACTTTTCCGTGGCGGTAATTTACGAATACCATTATTTTAATGGGTTATAACATTTTACTCCTTTACTGTGTAAGCCATCTATAACTTCGATCATATATTATAGATCTTAATTCAAAATCTTTTCAATTTTTAGATCTTGTATTAATAAACAATAAAAATATGATTTTAAGAATTAAATGTTATCTTAGTTCTTATTGGTTATGTCTGTTTTTGTCTCTTTGTTTTCTTATAAGCCATTAAGATTGCAAATTACAAAATACTTGTACATACAAGTATTGGACAAGTATTTGGACAAGTTCAAAGTGATTTGCTTACTATTTAGCACACCTTAAAAACCCATTAATTGCGATAATTTGAAGTAGCTATATTATCTGCCGTTGGGCAAAAAATTCAATTATTATCATTTATAAATTACTAAAAACATAATATTTTAGAGTTTAGGGTTTTTTGCAATTACCTTGCTCAATTAATTATATATTTTAATTTGGTATCTCTCAACATAAAAAACCTTTTATGGTCTACAACTTTTATTTTAATCATTTTTCTTTAGAATGTAAAAAAACGTTTTACAAGCAAACATTTTTTTTTTGTATCTTTTAAGATTGTTAAAAAAAAAGAACAAAGCATAATCAACTGTACATCTTAGAGTATAGATACATATAGATACATATTAGAGTATAGATATAGTACAATAGTATCTCTCATACTATTTAGAATTTAAATAACCGTAGATTTTTGAAAACTATTTACCGAGGTTCTGTGAAATACTTTCTTGTTGCATGGTTAAATAAAAATGTAATATTAATTACATTTTTAATTAACTAATATTTATTGTTTATTGTACAAATTATCTAAAATGTGTATACACATTTTGTACAAAAAAAACGTTTTTGAGAACGATTTCCGGAATGGAAATCAAAATGTCAAACACAAGTTAATTAAAAATGTGATTCTTATCACAATTACAACCAATAATTGAGGCGTAATCCCATAAAAACATAATATTTACCTCAAACTATTCACCGATAGCTTGGATTAAACAGGTTGTAAATTGAAATTTATGTAAAATATTCCCCTACACAATTCTCTGGGAAAAATATCTACCTTAAATAAATATATCTAACATTTAGGCAAAGAAAAAACCAGTTAAGACCGCAACGTGTTAGCAGGTCGTTAGCACGTTGACCGAAAACGGATCGATATTTATGTACCTAGATATTATTTTAAGTATTAATACCGGCAACATCTATTGGCTTTAAAATGATAGCAAATACAGTGATTTTAAATGATCGATGTTAAAACGTAGGATTGATGTAAAAAATTAAATATATAAAAAAATCAGAATATTGAAAAACCGACAACGCTGCTAAGCCAACAGAGGTGCACTAAACGAACATACACGACTTATATATAGAAAATAATAGATTTTCTTGGTGATGCTAAATTACTGCAACGTGAAACGAGTTTAAAATGATGGCGGGATGTATATATATATATATATATATATATATAATATATATATATATATATTTCAGCGGTTAGTACAATAAAACCTAGAGCTAAGATTAATATTATTACTAAAATTAATATCAAACTCACCAGTCTTCCGGGTTGAACCGCGTCGTTGTCCATTTTGCCTAGCTTTCGGCATCCTCTCTGATGCCTTCCTCAGGGCTTCCGAGGTCTCGGTCTCCCGAGCCCCCAGACACTACTACACTGTTCACTATTCACGGCACTGTCACTGTCACTACAGTAGTGGATATATATAAGTAGACATTCTATGAGTTAAGTTTAGTTGATAAGATATTTTCGTGCTGTAAACATAAATAAATGTATTTATATAAATCAGGAACCGCTCGTTTTATTTAATCTCGTAGAAAATTGTTGAGTGCGCGTATATTCCAGTGCTAAGATTCTTAAATCCGGTCCTGATGCGCCGCTCGGGCACACCGGCAACGTGGTCAGCAGTTCTCCCGTAAGAAATACGGTTCCTGTCTTACCTGCACTGTATTCTAACTGTGGCTTCTGCTATAGAGGGAAATTTATTTGAAAAGAACGAAAAAGAAGGCCGCATCATGTGTGCTAAGAGATACAGAGGTAGTTGGGAGCCGTTAAGAGGTATTAACAGTCAAGAAGTATTAATAGGAAGATTCGCAACGAAAAATGAAATCAGATCTAAAAATTTTTCTGCAAGCACCATTCCAATTTTGAAGGAATTCAATCCAAATTACCAAGATCCATATGCACTATAATGCCTTCTTCAGACCAAGGTTTTAGATATGTAATAAAGTACACTAGAATAATAAAAAAAATTGTAAATAATTTATTTTTAAATATTTTCAGAGACTTATTTGAAGAATTGACAGTCTACGTTCGCGAAGCTGTAGACAAGAAACAAGAAAACGTCAGACGAAGGCGCAGGAGAGATGCCCTTAGACTACAACTCACTAGATTATTAGAATTCATCGCAGAAAACGAAACTTTCGGAATAAGCGGTTGTGTTGTAGATAGAGATTCGCAATCCCTAATTCCCATCTTGGTAGAGTTTATAGATGGCGTCAGATATTATCTAGAAAACGAACCCGACAAAAATTCGACTACTGTAAAGGATTTGACTTTGCATTTTGGCTATTTCCTTAGAAAAATGATTAATAACTTCACACGTAAGTATAAATTTAATACTGATACAAAAAAAATTATTTTCAAAATGGGAGATAGCTGTAAGCTTCACATTTTAAAATAAATTACAAATATACAGGGAGTTTCGTAACACTGTACTGCATTAAAGATATGTTCTTTAAATGAAACACTGCAATTTATTTTAAATTTAATAACCGCTTTATTTTTTCGATACAAGAATACAAAGTTGTTTTGTGTTATACAGGGTATTTAAAAAGTTATAACAATGAAAATCGTAACAAGTTCACCCTGCATAATTTAAAAGGGGTATAAAAGCAACGAACTGTTGTAGCTATAGTTTTTAAATTACTGTCAAAATTCATAAAAATAGAATGGCTCCCCGTCTAACGGAATTGTTGAGGTGAACTATGACCTGTCACTTTGGTCTTTTGCTGTGCTAAGTTTGAGCTAATTTGTAAACTGTATTTAGTTCAATTATTTGTTTATACAACATAATATTATAATGTCCATTGTCGTAAGCTTCTTTACATATTTAATATCATTGACTGCTAAATGTCTTTTTGAGATGAACTGATGATGCTTTCTGATTAGAAAGCGAAACGTCTTCCATAAATAGATGAAGTAGCCACCTTCTTGTCTTTTTTCTCTCCACCTTTGGACCGAAAAACCCATCACTCTTCGAGTGATTCTTAATTGATATATATATATATATATATATATATATATATATATATATATATATATATATATGTATATATATATATATATATATATATATATATATATATATATTACAGGATCCAACTTGTAAATACAATACATTTTGGAGACGGCTATCGCCATATGACCGTTCTCCTCAAGGCATGCTCCTCCTCCAAACCTCTCGATTCCATTGCTCTTCTAATTCCTTCATTCCATGAGCGTCGAGGTCTACCTCGTTCTCTTCTTCCAGGTGGCTTCCAGCTGTGAAGTTTTTGGGGCCAATGTTCGTCGGGCATTCTCAACAGGTGTCCAAATAATCCATTTCAACTGCCAAAAATCTTCTCTTCAGGTCTGGATTAATTTTCCATACTTCAGAGCCCTAACAAAGAACTGATTCAACCATGGTTTGCCCTATTCTTTTTTTGTTCCTTTTGGAAATGTTGCGATCCCACCATAAGGAGTTCAGACATCCTACAATTTTACGTCCCTGATTAATTCGGTGTTTAATTTCGGTTTCTCCCAAGCCGTTCTTATCAATGAGTGCACCTAAATATTTAAATGTTTCTATTTGTCTGATTTCCACGTCCTCTTCTATCAACACTTCAAAGCTTGCATCTGAATTGGTAACTAAATATTCTGTTTTCTTCATGCTGACTTGTAACCCCCATTTTACATATTCTCTATATAGATGCTTTATCATAAATTTTAGATCATAAGATTCTTGAGCTAGGACGACTTGGTCATCCGCAAAGTTCAGGGAGAACAGTATGTCATTTCCTAGGGGGATTCCCATTCCCTGGCAGTGGTTTATCCAATTTTGGAGGGCTGCCTCAATATATAAATTAAACAGTAAGAGTGACATACTGCATTCCTGTCTTAGTCCTTTAGTTACTTTTATTGGCTCTGATAGTCTATTTCCGATTTTTAGGTAAGTAGTGTTATCCCTGTATACTTCTGTGATTATTCCTAAAAGGTATTGACTAATGCCGAGTTGTTGTAAAGCTTGCCACAATTTAAGTCTTGGAACTGTATCATACGCCTTTTTTAGGTCGATGAAGGCTAGATGTACTTCGGTACCAACCGCTAGCCTTTTTTCTATTAATTGTTGGAGTATAAACAAGTTGTTATCAGAGCAAGATCTACCTAATTACTATGAATTAAATTAAACATATTTTCGGCCAATTTTTGACTAGCAACCTATTATCAATGTATTCTCCTAGTTTTAAATGTATGTAAAAATGTGAGTTTGGTGAACTACGTTATGAACGTAGTGATCCTACAGTGGGATCTGGTACTATTAGGTTTGTTTGCGAATTGGTTGATACTTTTTTGGAAGTAAATTACAGATCTAGCATTGCGATATCGTTAAGGGTAGCAAATTGTATTTTGTTGCCAGATAGAAGTCTAATTGTAGATCAGATAGACATATCAGGTAGGCATTATTGCGGTAGTTACGTAGGACTTTGGGAGTGTAAGGGAGAAATGGTGTATTTGTCTCTTTAATTTAAAAGTTAAATAACGGTATGAATTATATATAAAATCAATATTTTATTTTTAGTGGAAACTCGTCGAACTCTTTTAAAAAGAGACCTAAGGAGGAATCTCTTCACCTTATTTGGTAATTGGGCTGGAAAATATGGTTTCCCGACAGGAAAGGCGAATTCCGAAGGTGATATGAATAACAAAAAACATGTGGAGTTGCAGTTGATTTCATTACAAGCCATGAGTTATCTTCTCTGTTGTGGTCCTTGCTTTGATTCTCTTACTGAAGAAAGTTCTTACTATCTGTGGATAGATGGACTACTTAATAGTCCAGACGAAAAAGTAAGTATTGCAATAATTTATTAAATATAAAAATGGTATATAGAAATAATCACAGTGTGCTAGCAAATTTATAAATTTAATTCTTTGATAACGAATAAATAGATAAATTATAAAGATCTTCCTCTTTTACTATTTTTATATAGGCATATTTCCTGTTTTTCTTTAATATAACCTCTTATTCTATTGGTATATTATCATTCCTCCATACTTTATCGTTAAAACATATTTGCTTCTTCATATTATATAGTTAAGGTATTCTGCTGTTTTACTTGTTGTGCCACTTGTTCCATGACTATTCCTCCATATTATTGTCACTTGATAAATTGATTTGGATATATTTAATTGTCATTACTGTTGCAGGATTAAATATAAAAGGTGAAATATTACAATGATTTGTGGGGTTGTCTGTACCAACTGTAATTAAAGATGGCCCAATCTGCATCAAATTAATCTTTACTTTTTATTTACCTCGTACTATTTTATTGACTGCATGTTGTCATTAACATTACTGCCACAGCCACCTTTACTGCCCAAAGATAAAATTGATCTCAAAAAATGTTTTCTAACCTTAGATGGTTATAATCGAGAATATATGGTCCTGGCGTCGCCAGTGGCAAAACTCCAGACACAGCCTTGCCAAAACCCAAAAGCTATATACTCACTGATTTCATTCTCTCATGCATCAGTAATATTTTTCCGGCAAAAGCAAAACTCCCCGTCTGGGATCTGATTTAATTTCAGTTTTCAGCGTTTCTTATTCACACAACCTTTGATCTCAAGCCACATCTGATTTTGTTTTTTTTTTATGTAAATATTTCATTCTACGATCTTAAGACGCAATTTGTGCTGAATAAAATAAACATTTAAATGTTTATTCTATTTTAAGAGACACTATACCATCGAGCAAAAAGACAAAAGAGGGAATCTAATCCTTATGAAAAGGAGACCAAAAAGTGGCCTCTGATGGCGGACATATCCGGAAATGCGAATGCGCCAAATTTAAATTTTCCGACACTTATTAACAGTAACTATATAATATTTTTCAGAATGTGTCTTAGACGAGAAAGTTTTAATTAATTATTAACGGTAATAGTCTAAAATGCGACACAATTGTTAAAAAACTTCAATATAAATAAGATTTCATGTGACATTTGGGACAAACAATAACATAACCCAACTAAATTTGATGTCAAACAAGGAGTGAGACTCTCTTTCCTTGTTTAATGATTGCACTTCCTGTCTAACAATATTTTTGCGCCCACTACCTTTACATTCCCTCTTTTGTCTTTTTTGCTCGATGCATTATACTCCATCAAACAAAAAATGATGTGTCATAGGTGTGATATCGTAAGTTTAGCTGTCCTTATGAGTTTTACCAAGAAGGTATCAGTAGTGGAGAATTTATTTTTTATTAAGCGTATAGTATATTAAGAACACATAATTGAAAGAAATAGTTTTATAAAAAACGTTAAATGGAGTATTCCAAACGCACATCTAATATATCAGTATAATCTAAAACATGTTTGGTCTCATTCAGGAATTCCTTCTTAGTTTTTTTTGCTGTTCTGTCAATATATTACCCTCCTTATCTCTTTACTTCTTTTGTTTGAATTGCTTTTTGCTTTTGTTCAGTTTCCGGTAAAATTTTCTCGTCTCTATTGGCTTACTTAGATCTTTTAGTTCTTGAAGTTTTTTGTTCACAGTTTCTCTCTCCTTTCTGCGGTGGATTTTCTTTTCTTCCTTGCGTAGTTATTTATATTAAATCAAACCAAACAAGCATCTGCAGTTGCTAGCACTCTTTCTATTGACAGTCTAAATAATTAAATAGTGTTCTGAAATAAAAAGAATATACTAATTTGAGTATTCTACATCTTTAGGTATATAGTCGTCTTCCGCACATCCGTCTACACAGTCTACTCAGTCTACACATTATTAATGTGAATGAAAACTTATTTTATAAACTAGATCTAATGTATTATTTTTATTATTATAAGCAGAAATAGAATATTCTATTGTTACAATGTAAAATGACCAGCAAGGAAATATATTTTCTTACTCGCCGCCAATGATTGAATTCAAAACTTCCGAGAATGAAAGATAGACACGTGATTGCGGCTACTTTTGACCACTTACGGCGCATGATTTGTGATATAGTTTCATTTAATATTTGCCAGACGATTATGATAAACTAACGTTCGGATATAGAAGTGGAAGACGCAGAAACCTTATACACGGTCACATAAAAGTTACTGTTTTGTGAATTAAATGGAATTTTAAAAACATTAAAAGATTTTTGAATCGTTACAGTATTAAAGTAGGTGATACCTTTGGTAGGCTGCCACTTAAGTACACAGTTGAGCACATCTGGTAATAACCAAGTAGCTTGAAACCATGATAACTTGCTATTGTTTACGAACTCAAATACAAAGAAAATAGGCCTTCTTTCCTGAGACCATACTGGGCGGTGAATCGTCAAACGGGTCATAAGAAACTCAATGGGAAATTTTAAATTGTTGAATTGCTGCTTCCCTAATTATTTTAGATCAAAAGTCATAAAAAACTATTTGTAGAGGACTAAAATCTGAATTAAAAACAAATGTTAAAACCGTTCTACGAATCAAGTGTACTTCAAAATTTTGCAAAAATATAATAGATTTTTCAGACCACCCCTAAAAGTTAGGCCACACGTAATACAAGAATATAGAACGTGTGTATTTTATCGTATTGATGTCAGATGTTTGACAATTTAAATTGTCAATTTTTTTGTTTCATGATTAAATTATAAACAATGAATTTTACTAAATACTACTACTACTGAACAATATTACTTTGTGAACAATATATTATATTGTTTACAAATCGATCAATATAATGAAATGTACTCAGTTGACGAAAAATCACATAATGTTGTATTCAGGCAATAGCGCGAACCTTTTCCTGTCACTACCGGATCTTTATTTAACGTAAGATATTCTAATACACAATATAAAATTTAATTCCATGTTAAGTTAAGTTATACAACAATTCAATGAATTCCAATATACTGTTACTGTGATCTTTATTGCTAAAAATAATTTATGATAATTTCTAAACATAAAACTATAACAAATGTTATAATAAAACATGAATAAAACATTTTTATTATTGTTCTTTTCTCCTTAACTGAGTACATTTTTTAATCAACTTAATATTTTTTTAAACAATAAATCACAAAATAAAAATATTGGCCATTTAAATCATAGATAAATATAATATAGTTGATTTAAATATTGTCAAATATTAGAAACGTCAATATGACAAAACGCAACACGTAATACACATTTTTTTCACGACGTCCGGCCTGACTTTTAGGGGTGGCCTAAAAAATGTATTATATTTTAGCAAAATTTTGGAATACGTACGTTTAAGTCGTAGAACAATTGTTTTCGATACATATTTGAGTCCTCTACAAATAGTTTCCCATGACTTTTGGTGTAAAATAATTAGAGAAGCAGGAATTCAACAATTTAGAATTTCCCCCTGAGTTTCCTATGGCCCGTTTGACGATTCACCACCCTGTAGACTGCATTATACACAACAAAGCTATAAAAAGTTTTCTTGGAAGAAAAGAAATCTTTTGACGAATTACAATGTAAATGTTTATAGAAACAAAATTTAAGTATTTTAAATACGAAATTATTGCATTTACTCTCGGTGCGGCTATTCTATCAAATTTTATTGGCCCCCTCTTGTTACGCTCATGTGAATGTTAAACATGTGGCCTACTTAAATAACGATGTCTTAAGACTGCAACTAATGACACTGAGTAGTGTATGCGATGCTAGATCATATTACTGGACAATGACCTTATAAAATTTCCTTATTCATTAAATATTTAAATTATTATAATTACTTATTTAATTATATGATGTTTTTTTTACCTAAAAGTTTTCCTTATTTTCACATAATGAGCACAATAAAAATATATAAATAAAAATATAACACTTAAATCTACTCTCAGAAATAGTTTCTGAATTTATTCTGCGGGTAAACTGGGTATAAACATGAACTTTTTATACAACTGTAATCATAATTAGGGGAGAGTAGTACACAGTGAAACAAAAAAAAAATATTTGCGTTCAAAAAATTTATTTTTGAATTAAAAGAAAAAATTTTAAAGCAGTATGGTACACTAACTCTTTCTTAACATCTTATGGACGAAATTCGAAAATAATGAAAATTGTTTCACTGTGTACCACAATCTCGTTCTGAAGTTGTGCGCCAGATGGTCCAGCACGTTCAGTATCTGGTGTAGCCTTTTTACGAAATTGTAAGGTGGCAGGTCCAGGTAATTCATAATCGAGGACATCTTCCCGTTGTAGCCTGTCAGATACTGCTGATGTTAAAAAGTCTATGTCGTCAAAAATTAGAGAATTAAATGGATAAATTCCACTTTTCTGGAATCCTGACATTATATTGGAAGGAGTTAAGGATTTTGCATGAGTTTTTCCAACAGATTCGGCTATTTGGTAAATAGTCATGGGAATTCCAGCGTTGTAACGTGCTTTGAATAGTCTAAAGACTGATATATCTAAGGGCGGCATTTTGTGTCTACAGTGTGAAGGTAGGGTCAAAATAGTCAAGCCATATATCAGTTGCCGTTGTTGAAGCTCGAGCTGCAGATGTGACTATTTTGACCCTAACTGTCAGGTGTACTATGTGAATGATTTATGAAATGGTCAAGAACATGTGAAAAGAGTTCGACCGCCATCCAACCATTGGGCGTTGCTAATCCCATCCTATAAATCCCTATACCGGGAGGTGCTCCAGCTACCATGTGAGTTTTGAAATATTTTCTCGGAAACACCATGGCTGGGGGAAGGTATGTGCCGTTACCACAAACGATTGTGCAAGTTGTTACTAGAGTTCCACGTTCGGCACTGCTGCATTGACTAACTTGTCTGGAACCCTTTTCGGCTAAAATTTTTCTTGGTTTTTGCACAGTGCTAGTACCCGTTTTATCAAGATTAAAGATTCTAGATGCATTAGCTACTTGAGATTGATAATACTATGATACTGATTCTACTAAGTAGACAAAATATTGAAACACATTGGCCATGCGTTCGACCACAAAATATGAATGACAAGTCACCAATAGAGTGTGCTGGAAGTATTTTATAATTAATAATATGATCAGTGAAATTGTCATTTACACCAACAAGAAGATTCAGGAAAAGTCCTTAATACTTGGAAAACAATAAAAATACAGTAAAAGAAACAAAACGTCAAGAATTACGTTCTTTATTTAGTTGGTTTTTATCATTCTGGTCGACAAAATTTGGACGACCTTTGGGCAACTGATAACACCGGAGTTATGATTTTTAGAAAGGCCATGGCACTATAGATATAGATTTCGATTTCTCTTAGCCTGTCTACGTTTTGATGACATCGAAACTCGTGCCGAGCGAAAAAAACAAGACAACCTCACCCCGATTAGGGAGATATTTGGTCAGTTTGTATCAATTTCGAAAGCTGCTTTTCACGAAGTGAGTCGTTGACCATCGACGAAAATCAGGCCAAATTTTGTCAATATGTTCCGAATAATCAGGCCAAATATGGCCTCAAAATTTTTACATTGGTAGATGCTAGATGTTTCTACACGTTTATCATGTACGTACGTTTCTACACGAGGGACTTTCCAGCAGAGCAACACAGGTGAAACATCGTTATTCGTCAAGTTGAGCCAGTAGCAAAACTGGTCGTAATATAAGCTTTGATAACTGATTTCTTCTTCTTGTATTGCCTATCCGTTTCGGATGTTGACTGCTTCTCTGAAAAGACTTGTGGTTGTTGTGTTGAACATTTTTCAGCCAGGAAATCCTTCGCCTTCCTGGTCCTTCTTTTCCGTTTACTTTTCCTTGTAGAATTAATTGCAGCAACCCATATCTTTCGCTGTTCCTCATGATGTGACCGAGGTATACGATTTTGGCTGTTTTTATTGTGGTTAGCAACTCTTTTCCTTTTTGCATTCTTAATAAAACGTTCTGGTTAGTAAAGAGGCTGGTATAGGATATCTTCAGGATTCAACAATAAAGCCACATTTCGAAAGCCCCAATTTTCTTGCAGATAGTGTCTGTGGGAGTCCACGACTCAGCTCCGTACAACAGTATAGGAAAGACATAACATCGCAGTAACCTGATTTTTATGGGTACTTGTACGCATTTTAGATGCAAACGGCCTATATTCTGGTCATAAGTACAACAGTGTTGGAATGCGGTGTTGATTCATGTATCCATATCTGATTCACTAACAACTTCCCGAGTATTTAGATAACGCATTAGCGTCTTATTGTTATTCTCCTCCATCAGGGGAGATTACTTTTACTTTTTAAGCACTATTTTATCACAAAATGTAGATACACACATAATAAAATTTAAATGTTTTAATAAAATTGTCACACAAACTAGAAGTTTAACAAGTTTGTAGATAATACCGCTCACGTCTAATTGATGTAACAACTAATCACTTACTGCATGCGTGAGATTAGATGTTCTTATAGGGTGTTTTTGTTCCAGGTCTACAGTCTCGCTCAAGAAACTGTCATTCTTTTACTTGAATCAAATCCCGATGTGTCACCGCTTTTGGACTGGGTAGTTGATAAATGTTATACCGGTACGTCAAGAGTCGCTGATAGCTGTTTCATTGCATTGGCCACCATCTTTAGTGCAAGGTAAATATCTTTGCGTAATAGGATGAAGGTACCATAAATTCTCCGCCTGATGTAGAAATAAGAGACATGCTGAAATATTTTAATGTTTTTATTGGATAGGAATAAAAATATCGATCTTTTTGTTTTAAACGAAGAAGATATTCAATACAATCCTCCCTCTCTCCCTTAATAGCTGACATCTACATAAAACGTTTCGAAAGAGCCCTATCCTCATCAAGTCTTAAACCAATCTGCTGGTTACGGTACGTTGATGACACCTCTGTCATTTGGCCCCATGGTAAAGACACATTAGATCTCTTCCTCTCCCATCTGAATGGAATACATTCCGGTATTCAAAGACGTTGATTCGAAATCAATTCAATAAGGCAATCACTCTTACAAAACGGCTACCACAAAACCCAAATCAATAGGAAACCCCATTCCATCCAAAAATGAAACGTTGCCGCCTGATCAACCCAAAATCTTTCTACCTTTTATTAAAGGTGTCACTGACAAGATCGGTAGAACTCTTAACCCTCTAAACATCAAAACCATCTTCACTACTCACTCCCAGTTGTCCAATATCGTCAGATCCGTAAAAGACCAAATCACCAATAAAGACTATGGTGTCGACGAGATACCTTGTTCCAGTTGCCCACGTACATATATAGGACAGACAAACCGACGAATCCATAACCGCATTTACGAACATTCTATATTTGTCAAACATTCCGATGTTACTTCAGCCAACATCATATTCAGACAGGCCACAAAATAGATTTCGAAAAAGCAAAATCATCGCTTCCATCCGCTCCTTAAAATCCAGACTCATTCGTGAAGCTATCGAAATTGAAAAACAGCCTAACAGCTTAAACACGATGACCCCAAAGACCGGTCGTCACTCGACACTGAGGTGTAGGCAGATAGAGACCTCAGTGTCGTTTGAGACACAAATTCTATTTTATAAGCTTAGACAGATAATTTATGGCTGTTACCTGTATGGCATTATATTCAAGTGCGCCGTTACAATTTGAACACTTTTAGGGAGTATCCGTGTGATCACTATACTGCAATTATAAATGTAACGTTAATGAACACCGGCTGCCCTAGACAAGTTGTCAGAGATACAGCCCTACAATTGCTTCAACTGCTGGATAAGCGATTTTTCGGATGCGTTGGGCCCTTGGCGGAAAATGATTTAGGTAAGTCTGTTTTAAATATTTTTTTATTATATACAATTAAAAGCACAGTGCTCATCTCTACAAATTACTTGAGATAAGTTCGTATAACGGTTCTAATTGATAAGAATATCCTTTGTGATATTTATAGTGACTTCAAAAATAACTGTAGTAGACATGGAAGAAATTATTGTATTGAAAGTGATCTGCTGGTCTTAGAATGCTATATTGGTTTGGAAATACATGTAACAATTTTTATGGTAAAAGGTTACAAAGATCTTTATGCAAAAGTCTTATTCTTATTTTTGTATAGACATGACCTCTATCTGTTTTTCAATGTGCGTCCAGTAAGTTGTCGTTGCATCGTTTTCGTGGTCTTCCCACTGATCCTCTTCCTTTTGGGGAACCGTCTGTCGATGTCTTTACTACTCTATTTGTTGTCATTTGGCTTATGATCGTTCCAATCTACTCTTCTGTTTTTTACCCAGTTCTGGATGTTACCATAATGTCTTACCATAGATTTTTCTAAGGATTTTTATCTCTGCTGTTTCTAGCGTTCTTTTTGTTCTGTCTGCGTCAGGTCGTATTTCTGCCGCGTATATCATTATGTTTGTATTGCGTTGTCTACATAGCAGATTATTTTAAGTTGTTTTACTCCTATTTAGGAATCAGCCTGTCTTATCCCATTGCCAGCTTGAATTGGGTCAATTAATTCTTTTTCTACTTTCACTTTTATTGTGTTGTTCTTGTAGATATTTTCGATCGTTTTGATTATTCCTAGAGGTATCTCTCTTGCATATAATAAGTGGATAACGTCCTTTAATTTGACTCGTCAAATGCCTTTATAATATCCACGAAACATAAATATCCTGGTTCCTTGTTTTCTGATGATTTCTCTTGCACTTGCCTCATTATAAATATAGCATCGTTGCATGATCTTCCTGACCTAAAACCTTGTTGTTCTTCTGCTAGTGGTATAATTTCATTCATTTTATTTGTTATTACTTTGGTTTTTAATTTTATTGTTGTAATTAGTAAATTTATTCCTCTGCAGTTCTAGAGATCCATTCTTGAGGTATTCCGTTTTGTTCTATTATTTTTGGGAGTTCATTCGGTATTGTCTCCCCTCCTGATGATTTTCTAATTTTTTAATTTCCTTAAACTTCGTTTACCTCTTTCTCCTCAATGTTTATTTTTAGTTTGTCGTCACTTCTGGTGTTGGTGGTTCACCTTTAGCAAATGAGGATCGAAAGTAGTTTGCCCATGTTTCCTTTTGAATGTGTTTCGTTTTTATTAGTTCGTTTATTTCTTTTCTTTGTTCCTTTCTACAGAACACAAAATGAAATATGAGAAAATATTTTATTTTGTGTTCCGTAGAAGTCGTGTTCAATCTATTTTGAGAAGCTCTGCCAGTTTTCTCTGGATTCGTTTATAGTTGTTGTATACCTGTTGTGTTCTGGATTGTAATAAGGTTTTCTTCATTTTTCACATTTTGTCTTCATTACCTCTCTAAATCATGGGCTTTCCTTTTTTAATGTGTTCTGTTGCTGTGATATTATTTTTCTGTATAAGTATTCCGTGGTTTCCTTATTAAGTCCTTCAACTCTGATTTTTGCTTGTGTTAGTGCCGCTCTCTTGGGTGTGGGGTATTTTATAATGATTATCATGTTACATATGCTAGGCTATGGTCGCTACCTACATCTGCTGAGTTCAGTTATAACATAATCTATCATAGATCTTTGTCCACGGGTGTTATTGAAGGTATATTTTTGTTGGTCTCTGTAGTCAAAAAATTAGTTGTTTATTCTAAGTTCCTTATTCGTGCAGAAGTTCTCCATTTTCGTTTTTAACATTCTCGTTATGTTTTTGCTCAATTCCGGATATTACTTGATTGCCTATTCCAGCGTTAAAATATTTAGCAACATTTAAAACTAAAAAGCTTCTAGTTGGTATTAAATGCAGTGACGAGAATTTCTCGAAACAGTAATGCCTAAACTAACGAAGCAGTGGCATCCCAAAGCATACTTTATGATTTATGATTTATAATAGGTCAAATTGTTGAATATAGGTACAAGTAGACAGAATGTTTTAAAAATTATACTAGATTATATTTGGCAACATTTTTGTATATTTGAAACAACACACTTATGTTGTTTCCTTTCTTCAATTTTTGTGAAATCCCTTGTTTATAAATACTAATGGATAATAGATTTGGTATTTGTTGACATTAACAACGGTCCCTAAAAATGGAAAAAATGCAAAATTTTCGTGTTTTTTATTACAGAAACATACAAAAAGTGTAAAAAAAATTGAAAAGTTTATAAAAAGTAGGAAATGATACTCATTATCGTTATTCCTTTATGGTAGTACTTGAGAATGAGTATTTTCACAATAAATAATGTATTTGAAAAGTGTGACAACATTGGTTCAAGAAGTATGTGCTACGCACACGCATATCATTGACAGCAGCTGTAATGGCGGCGACATCTTGAAATTAAGATCAAAATATCAGTTTTTTGAACGAAAAATAGGGAAAAACTATAGCTCAGCGGGAAAAAATTTATAGATTGTAAAGTGAATAAAAACTAAACCACAATTCACTGTTCAAATTTCAGGCTAATCCGACTAGCCTTACTACTCTAATTAGCCATAGGTTTTTCCTTCCTGAAATGCATTTTCATTAGAGCAGGTGTTTTGCTCTATCATAAAGACGATGCTCCCACTTTTCAAACCCCATTTTATAGAATTCTATCTCACATTCATTGAGGAATTGAGTAACCTCTTCCTTGACTTAGTGTATGACACCCAAGTGTTCCTTTAATTTTGAGAATAAGTGATAATCACCTGGTGCTAGGTCATACGGGAGGGCACAACAATTTAGCCAAAATCTCGTAGCAATTGTTGAGTTTGATGTGAGACATGAGATTAAGCGTTGTCATGGAGAAGCCTCACACCACAAGACATGAATTGTGGCGTGGGAAGTCTCAGGAATACGCAAAGCAAGGTCGTTAATGGTAAACCTCTGATCTTCAAGCAATATTCGTTCAACTTTTTCGACAATTTCGTCTGAAACTGAAAGCTCTCCGCTCCGATCTTTATCGTGAAATTCCGTTTTGCCTTCACTGAATTATCTACACCATTTGCGAAAATGTTAAACAGATATGCACTTTTCGTCATAAACTTCGATTAACTGACGATGAATGTCAATAGGTGAAATTCGTTTTGCATTTAAAAAAACTATCACATCACAAATTTCACGCCATCTTCGAAGGCTGCTATTCCGGCACTGAGCAATTCAGAGCTCGTGGTAGTGTGAGAGAAAGGGAGTTGATGGACAAGACAGTGTTATCAAATGTCTCCCAGTACGTCGCATTCTTTCTCATCGGCATAGGGAGGAACCTTTTTTTACGAATGACCCTCGTAAAATGATTTGATAATTCGCTTTTTGATATTTATAATTTGGTTTTTAGTTCAGTGGTTTTCTGTAAACTTTGGGTGCATATACTGTATTCATTTAAAATTTAGTTTATTTTATCTTTACATTGACAAATAGTAAAACATAGGCGTTACGTTAAGTTTTTCAGAGGTGTAACACTTTCAATAAATTGATACTATTTCGCAAGAATAAAGTTATATGAAAAAAATCATGTATTCCTGAATTCTCTTGCAAAATACCTGTCTAGTTATGTGCCACACATGATATATTCCCTATTAAAAATTATAATGGTACTAGAAAGGAGCGGGTTGCCAATTAAATCTATAAAGTTTAAAGATAAATCGACATGTTTTAGCATTTTCAGAACATCCATTAAATATTGCCAAATATCAGACCTCTCTTAAGTGACCAACCCTGTATAAAAAGTTGAGATTAAACTTATCTTACATTACTTATCTTAAAAGAAATGTAAAAAGGATACTTATAGAGAAACTAATGAATATATTAATGCAATTAACAAAAATCTATTTTACATAAAAAATAAACAAACCAAATAAAAATTGTCAAGAAGTATTAAACAATTTAAAAAACATTACTTTACTAAAACAATTTTTAATTGAAGGTGATTACTTGGAAACATCGCACTTAACGAAGCCCCTAACGATAACTTTTCAACGAAATCGTATTCCACTTATCAATTTTGCAGAGGCGCACCAAAAAAATATTAATTATTTATTTAAACACATAAGTAATTACTTAAAAATGAAATCTAAGACCGATTTAATTATTAACTTATCATGTGTCTTTTAACAGGTATCTTATAGTTGTCTAACAAAATAAAGTAAAATTTTATTCTTATTAGAGAGTATCTAATACAGAACTTCAAAAAACAGAAAACTTTGGAAAATACTTTTTTTTTCATTAGACTAAAAACAATCTGCAATCATTACACATCATTATCTATTTATAGAATTGCTGTGTGCTGTAACCTTTATGTTTGTTTTTTTTACTTAATTTGAAAGTTTCCTTGTGTTTATTTGTTTATATAAATATGGAAATATATTATGAAGTTCATATAAATTAAAATGAAGTAAGCTAAACTTTTATCATGTGAATGTGTATATATACTAGTGCATTTGTTTATTTCAGTAAATTCTCGAAATATGAAATCGTCCTTTGGTGACTTATCTCATGCTATTCGTACTATTCTATCCTCTGTCATTCTACCGATGTGTTCGTTCCACGCCTGTTTTGGTTTTGTCACCCATCCATTTATGTCTTCTATATTGCATTGTCTTCTTATGTTTTCGCTTCTCTCCCTATCCAACGGACTTCTCCATGATATTCGTTGGAGTATTTTCATCTCTGTTGTTTCTAGCAGTCGTCTCGTTTTAGATGTGTCAGGTCTTGTCTCCGCCGTGTATGTTAATATAGGTCTAATTGCTGCTTTATAGATTCTTGTTTTTGTGTCTTGTCTTAGGTGTTTGTTCTTCCAGATTCTGTCATTAAGAGAACCCGCCGCTTTACTTGATTTTAAGCTTTGCTGTGGTACTTCTTCAACATCTCCGTAACTAGTTATATCTATTCC